CTTTTTGATATATGCTCTAGTATTAAGAATACAAAATATTTTTTCTTTTACTCTCAGTGAAGAAAGTAAGAATGAAGAAATAAGCTCTTGGCGAGCTGACAAGATCTTCTAACTTATATGTAGATTGGTGTGACATGTTGCTTTTGGGCATGCTAGATGCAGCCAGGTGATGTCAAGCTTGCAATTGTTATACTGTCATTAATTATTCTATTCAAGTTTGTTTAAATAAAATATTATATTTGAGCTCTAGCAAAACTGTCAAAGAGCTAAAAAAAAAATAGAGAATATAAATACTATTAGTAATAGAAAAATCACTAACAATTAGAATAAATTTTTAAGTACAATTCTAAATTTTAGCAGAACTATATTATTTATAAGTTATCTTTATTAATTTATAGTCTGTACAAAATTTGTTAATAAAAAGTTTTTTTTTTTTTTTGATATTAAGGTGTTTTCTTTGGCCTGGTGACTTTTTATTAAAATATAGATGATGTTTTATAGTGTAATTACAATGATGGTATATCAAGCTACATGTGCACTTTTGGTGTCTAATTTAAGTAGTCCACCCAAATCATTAGTGCTATGCTAAGGGTTTCACACTATCTACCATACCTACACCCCAACTACGGGGTACCTATTAAAATCATCTGGTTCTAACTACCATTATCAGCTCTCTAACCCGTGGGTTTTGCTTCTACCCAATTTGGATTTTGTACACTACCTTAGGACTTACTAACATTAAACTAGTTTATTCTTGAGATAAACCTAACAGAGCAGTATATGTTCCACACATGTATTCATCTGCATGTTTCTATAACTTCTTCCTGATTAGTACATATTGACCTGCTGTTCGGTATATATATCTTACACCACCTATTGGGGTGCTGCTATTTTACAGACATTTCTTAAGCACTAATCTTTCTAATCAGGTGCCCATTATGTACTTCTTGCCCTTATTCAGTTCACAACAGCCCTGATATCCGCATTTGGACCATCTCTTTACTCGGATTCTTATTGGTCCCTTCCTTACTTCTAGCTGGCAACCCAGAAGGATTGGTTTGCTCAGGCTTTAAGTACCTAAAGGACGCCCTTCTCTTTGTTCATACTTTTGAAGCATATGCCCTTTTTCTCTGGTGCGACAACCCGGCAATTCAGCTGGTGTGTCCTCTGCCAGTAAACCTAGTCGCTCAGTTCTTCGATCTTAGGCCCCAGTTCAAATTTAGCCCTCCTGTAGTACAATCAAAAATCATTGCTACCTCCAAATTCGGGACTTGCCAAATAAGTTTTTGGTTATGCCAGTTCCTTGGATTTATTGCACCAAAGCTTCCATTACTAGATGGTGTAACTGAAGTTACAGATTTATAGATCCAACTAATAAGCTAACCATTAACCAAACACAGGCCCCTTTTTCAAATATCGTCGCTAGTGGGATTTGAACTTTTGACCTGCTACTTGAAAAGGGTGATAACTAGACCACTACACTAAGTCGCCACACCTCATAAAAAGTTTTTATTCAAGTTGATTTAGCCAATAGATATAAAAATTATACATCACTTTAGTTATACTAATAACTAAATTAACGACAATTGTTATATTTGTATCTTTTTTTAAAAAAAAAACTCTTATTTTAAAATTTTGCTGCTTATATTAACAATTTTAATATTAAAAAATTATTTAAAATAATTTTTTTATTGCTAAATATAGTGTCAATTTTTATAAGCAAACTGTCATTATAGATATATCAATTAAATTAAATTTTTAATTTTGCTTTATACTAAGCTTAGAATATAATAAAATCTTTTTTCTATTACATATAACCAGCTCTCCCTACTGATCACTTGTACTAAATTTTCTTACTGAACTTAATCAAAAATTTTGTTGGAGAAGGCTAGAAGACACTATGCAGCAGTTTTTGTAAAGATTAACTTTTCTATTTAGGGATTCCTTTATATATTCGGCATGCAAACTAAAAGTGTTAGTATACAAGATTACTGGCAGGTACAAATTTAACATTTTTTAGTTTTATATTGTTTTTCCATTAAGATTATAAATCATTTGACAGTCCTGAGTAATATGTCGATTTACTAACATGATTAATTAATTTAAAACCTAATATCATACTTAAAATTCAAATTTTCATGTTTATTTGACGGGTTTCATAAAATAGCCAAGCAACGATTATATTTTGAACGATTCATTATATATCTTTCGATTTTTTAAAGCTTTGAAAACTTGAAATGAAAGAAATGAGAAGAATTTGAAGTCACATAAAATAAAATAACTTTTTTTTTTTATAATCAATCTAATTTATTAAACTCTTATATTAGACTTGTGTTTAATTAACGTACATATGTACATTACATATTAATCAGTATAATTTTTCAACAACATATGTTACATTTTAATCGGTATATATTTTAAACTCAGGTACGTTAATTTTGAATTAACAGTTATTTAAGAGCAATATACAACATATATTCATTTTCTTTTTAATTAAAAAAAATAAACAATATTACTGGTAAGGCCAATTTTATATTTTAATTACTATTGCTATATGGTCAGTAATGAATAAAAGTGATCATTCCACAGACATAACATTACACTGCAATTATTTTACTTTTAAATTTTTTTTTGCAGACAAGTAATTCACTCACACTCAATTCACTGACAAGCTTACTTTTACTGACATGTTGATTTTACCAATAAACACTTCACCAACAACTAATTTTACCAACAAAATCAATTTACCGACAAGCTTATTTCACCAATAATAAATATCAACAAGCTTATTCACTGACAATACAATTCACCAACAATATAGCTTACCAACAAATAAAAAATGAAATGTGACTTGACTTTGATTATAAGTGTAAGTTAGAATTAGTATGTGGCAAAGAGTTGACTCTGATTATAATATAAGTTAGTATTAGTATCCAGCAAAGAGTTGAATTACTTTTCTGCATTCATAATTTAAGCAATTATATGCTTTTATTATCAGTGAGTTATATTGTTGGTGAATTATATTGTTGGTAGAATAAGCCTATTGGTAAATTTATTATTAGTAAAATAAGCCTATTGGTAAGTTAATTTTGTTAGTAAACTTAATTGTTGGTAAAGTGTATGTTGGTAAAATCAACTTGCCAGTAAAAACAAGCTTGTCAGTAAATTGAGCATAATTGAATTACATGTCTGTAAAAAAAACTTGTTAGTAAAATGATTGTTGGTATGTTTGTAAAGTAATTATTGGCAAAATAATATGAATGCATAATAAACTTACTAAATTATCTTTTTTTCTAATTAACTTTTTTTACAAATTTCTGCTAGATTTATTTAAAGTTTATAAACTATATTTTTAAGAGCTAATTAACTAGTAAGCTAAAACAATTTTATTATTTTTTGAAAGATTTCAAGTTAAAGAAATTGAAGACTTAGATAAAAATTTCTCTATATATAATCAAGTTAATTTGGCAAGAATTAATTATCAAACATATCTACAAGCAATTTATAGAAGTTGATCTTTGAATTTTCAAAAACTCTTTAATATATTATTTAACTTGGTTTTTAGATATAATAATGGTATAAAAAAGTTTATTGAGTTATTTATAATTATTTCTTTTAAAATATTGTTAATGTTATGTTTTATTTAGTGAAAATCACAAAAAAAAATTTTCAAGATATGAATTTTGAATTTAAATTAAAATTATTTAAATTTAACAAGTTTAATACTAAAAACTCAGTACTTTGGGTTCAAAGTGGCCAAGTGGTTAGATTAAAACTTTTTGTTAAATTTAAATATTTTTAAATAAAAATTTAAAAGTTATAATTTAGCAAAGCCTTAATATTAAAAACTTAGTACTTCAGGTTTGAAGTGGCCCAGTGGTTATATTATAAATTTTAGTTAAATTAAACTTTAATTCTTAAATTTAATTAATTTTAAATAAATTATTATAGATTAGTTAAATTTAAGAAATAAATTAAGATTTAATTATAATATTAAAATTAATTAATTTTTTTTGTTATCTGTTAAAAATGTAAGTACTTAAAATATAAGTATTTAATTTGTTTTTTTAATTTAAATAATTTATAATATAATTTTAATTAATTATTTATATATTTAAGTTGGTAAATATTTCAAAAATCAAATTGTCAAAACTTTGGAGTAATTTACGATCATGTTTGTACAAAATTATTTTGAGAGTAAATTTTTATACTTTTTAATTTTGTTATTTATATTTTTTTGTAAATTAAAAAATTTTAATTTTTTTAAACTTTAAACAAAAAACTTCTAGACAACTACCAAGTTAAATTTAATAAAAATTTTTTATTTAATTCATGATCTATCAGTAAACCAATGAAAATATATAGTAAAAAGTAGGAATATTTATTATTGTCTTTGAAATCTGAAGTTTCCCAAAGAAAAAGTTTTTCTTTACTAAGTAAATCTCTTTTCAACATCTAAGTAAAGTTGTAGAGGAGCATCTTGCAATCAGAATGGTGGTTAAAACATTAAAATCAGCCTAGTGAATTACAAAATATAAGCATTTTAATCTTTATGGCTATAAGTTTTCTTCTTTATATAAATAAAGAAGAAAACATATAATTGCAAAAACTAAAATGCTTATATCTTATGATCTACTGAGATGATTTTAACTATTCTGATTGCAAGACACTTCTCTACAACTTTACTTAGGTGTCGAAAAGAAAAAACCTTTTCTTTAGAAAACTACAAATTTCAAAAAGACAATTTAAATAGTAATGTATTCCCAAAGTTTACTATGCTTTTTCACTAGTTCACTAGCAGATTATAAATTAAATATAAAATTGATTGTGATTAATTTTTTGGTAGGCCTTAGACAATTAAAAAAAATTATATTTATATAGTCACAATATAGGATAATATATTATAACTAAAGTTTTCTATTTCATATTATCATATTTATAAATAAATAAATATATTTTTTATATTATACAACTTAAATACATCTCTATTATTTATAAAGTTATGCTCTATTTGGCTCTTCTTCATTATTTGATTTCTTTATAGAATCAATATACTTAACCAATTTCTCTAAATTTGAATTGTGTAAATTAGATTTTGTAATAGATATGGTTTGTACAAACTCTTTACCAAACCATTTTTTAAGTTGCTTTGTCTTATTTTCTGCTTCTGCAAAAAAATGAACTATGCCCTGACCCTGTTCATGTTTGTGTATCCTATGTGATTCACTCTGGACTTATAATAGTTTTTATTTCCTAGTATAAATAATAATTTAAATAGCAAATAAACTTTATAAATATTTATTATAAAATGTAAATTTACAAATATTAATAATTTGTTCAAAAAAGAAAAATATCATGTATTTCTACTAAATAATAAAAAACTATAATAAAAAAATTTTCTTGCATTATCTTCAAAATTGTTAAGCAAATTATCAGGCAAATAATCAGATTCATTCAGAAAATTATTAGATAATTCAACAAGTTCTGAAGTTATTAGAAATTTATTCTGAAGACCTTCATTTTAGACCAAATATACAATTAAGTAAATATACAGTATATACTGTAAATTATATATGAACCATTTGATTTTTTTAAATATTAATGTTAATGTTAAAATCTTTATGCAATATACGAAACAGTACAATTATTAATAATCAAGAAAGTTAATCACCCTAATCACGTGATGGTCAGTAACATCATCTTAAAGACTGGACTTGTCAACTCGAAACTCGAATTAAACACATTTAGTTTAATTTACACCATTTTTCAATAAATTTCATGACTCGAGATGAGTTATGATTCGAGTTTCAAGTTGACAAGTCCAGTCTCTACCTCAGCTACTAAGTTGGCTGTAGTACGTGGTCTTATAGTTAGAAAATCAGAATAAAAATATATCGTTTACACTCAAACGTTATTAACGAACTTAATTGCTAAATTTAATTAAAATGGCATTAAAAACCTCTCAAATAATTATCTTGAACTTCTTAATGATAATGAAGATTTTAATATAATTATTATTAATGTTGGTGAATCTTCAAATACAAAAGTATTCTGAGCATATTCAACAATTTTAAGATACAGATCTTTATATTTTCGCAATTAATTAACGAATATCGGTAAACATTAAAACAATTAATTTAAAAAATGTTTCTATTTAACAGTTTGGAATTATTATCATGTAAGTATTTTAGATTGTATTAAGTACAAAAGTATGATTCATAATTTATATTACGTTATAAGAAAAAAAATCTAAATTATATATAAATTTTTACAAAGATATGAAGGAATTGTCTTACTTGAAAAACATGATACATCATTTATTTTTGAGCTCATACTTATTGCTTATGAATTTCTCTTTGATGAATTGGCCAAACACATTCAAACTCATTTAATAAAAAAGGAGGTTCATTGGCTTCATTTACATTTTAATTGTATTAATCAAAAAAGTTTCCAGAATAATCAAGTTTTACAAAACTGGTGTAATAATATTGTGGTAAAGTATCCTAATAAAATTTTTGATTCTGATAAATTCTTCACACTTCAAGAAAATGCTTTATTTCACTTATCAGTTGAGATAATTTACAAATGGATAAAGTGAAAATTTGAATTCATGTTATATAATGGAGAATTGGCCTATCATCCGATCCTGAAGATTGGTCTCATGAAATTTTCTAGCTTTAAAGACTGCTTTAAAAATTATTTACCTCACATCTGTTATTTTCAAATGTCTGGTAATGATATTATTAATAATGTTCAATATCTTCTATCGTTCTTCTACCTCGAATAATTTTAAAACCAACATTACCGACTAGAATTGTTGAACCATTTCAAATGTTATTAATAAAGCATATGCAGCGGAAATTGCTGGGCCGATATGAAAGATATGTATTTAAATAACTGATAATACTTATGAATTTATGTTACTCCTTTGTAGATTTTACTAATTCTTTGGTTTGGAATTTGTGTGATAAGCAAACTCATCTTATTGTAGTTATTAAAGTCAAGGGTACTGATGAAATTCTTGGTTGGTATAATCCTATTGGTTAGGATTCTCAATATAATGGAGAATATAGAAATTGCAAAGAGAGATTTATTTTTTGATGAAAATGGTAGTATGCAAAATTCTATTTTAAGCATTTTACTATGATTCTCGTTACAGTCCAGCTTTTGGATCTGCTATTAATCTTGCCATGCACAATGATTTTAACGATAATGAAAACAGTTGGACTAGTGAAGCAGATTCATGTGAAACCAATTAGAGATGCTGCTACTTACAAAGATTTCTTGTGAAAAATCATGTTTTTTAATAGAGGAATATTTCAAATTTATAAAAAATCCTGAAAACTTTTATACTAATTACAGAGCAGATAGTTTATTAAGATTGTAAATAAATATACACTTAAATATTAAACTACAATTAATATAAATAATTATGTTTATTGTATTGCAGTTTAGTTCGTAAAATAGCTGTGCAACGCAATTGAGCAAAATTAGAATGAAAATATTTAATTATGAAGTTGCGACGCAACACTACTAAAATTTAAAAGTACAAATGGAAGCATGCTAGAATTTTATCCATGAATTGAAGAATTACTGTGAAATTATTGCTTTGATTATATGATTGTTATGTATTTGGTAATAAAAGGGTCGTTACGACTATACACTCAAGCATCAGTCATGAAGTTGTCGTGATTGAGATTTCGACAAGGCAAAGAGCATTTAATGGAATTTCGTTTGATGATTATTTTGTACAAGAATAAATGTATAAAGATTTTGATAAAAGGCCTAATATACATAAAATTATTGAAATAATCATTTGTTGATTAGATGAAAGGAATCATGAAGATGATAATAAAATCAAATTTTAATTTTTGGAAATTAATAAAACTGATCTCAAACAATACATTCTCAAGAAATGTACACTTGCACGATATATTATACTCAAAAAATTTAGTCCTGTGAAAATTCTCAAATTTTATTTTTTAAATTATATAAAATATTGGGACGTCTAATATAATCAAAACTATGTTAACTAATTTGTAAATCCGCTAAGTGCAGATTTTTTTGATGTTATACAAATGTCAATTCACACTAATCTACAAATTCAGCAATTCAATTGGTCTAAGATCATGTAATAGCTATAATACAAATAGTATTCGTATTAGACTCACTGGCTCGATAGTTTTCGTTCAAATTTTTTATTTATAATAATTGTAGCAATATAAACAAAATTACAGAAATTAATATGCAAGAAAAAATTATTAAATCATTTTACGTGAACGATCTACTAAATAAAATATGTACATGAACTTAAAAAGGTCAATTATAATTTTTTTTTCTTTATCAGTACCTAGTTTTTTAACCCGTAAAACCTTTAATCGAATAATCGATTATTATTATAAATGGAAAAACAAAAGCTTAAATAGATAGAAATCGCTATGAAAAGTGCTTAGATATTCTATAAAATATAAAAATATGCATCGTTTGGCTGAGCATCTTTCGATACATCGTTTCCGAACCGCACCAACGGGGAGGTAGATGCATGCAGTTCATATTAAAAAAAAAAAAAAAAACGCCCAACTTCTTTTAAAGGGAGAAAAACACCGGACCCTAAGCCATGCGTAGTGTTCCCGATTCGTTGGTGCGTCGTTTTTTAAAAGAAAAAAAAATAAAAAATAAAAAAGAGTGGCCCTTCTATACTATATCAATCCCGAAACGAAAGTGGGGACATTGCTCTAGCTACTGTAATATCCTTCACCTTGTTACCCAGCTTTCTTAGGCATTTGCCCCAGCCTGGTTTAAACTAGTGCTATCAATGATAACACTAGGTATGCTTGAACGTTGCTTTACACTAAGAGGTGGGTGGGTTCGAAATGTGCAATCATTAAAGAGCAAAGTTTATCAAAAAAAAAAGCAATGTATTTATAAACAATGAAATTGTGGCTTATTGATCATCAATATGCATCATCAGTTACACAACCAAAATTTGATCAAAACAATCTAATTCTGGTCAAATTTGTAGATCGTTTGGCCTATTGGGGAGTCTTCAATAATTATTGTATAAATATAAGACTCAAAAATCGCTTGTTTCACAAAAAACAGCATAAAAAACTACATTTTAACGCTTTCGTTGAGCTTAGAATTACTCTAATCTTAACCCTAACATGTTCTCATAACGGTCATACGAATGACAATATTGGCATATTAAAACGGTATTTTATAGAAAATCTTAAAAATAATACCAGTTGTATTATCATCAAGGTTTCTATTTCAATACAATATAATTTACCTCCTATTATTGAGATATTACGTACTATTATTGTGATTTTCTAGAATTCAAAAAATTTTTATTCCTTATACAATAAATTCTTTTAGCGAATATGTTAATAAAAGTGAACCTTTTCTTTCATACTGTCAGCTCGTTATAGAAGGGTTTGCTATAATTATTTACGATAATTAAAGTAACGTTATCGATATTGTTGGTATTAATAAAATCAGAATTGTTCAACTAAGTGGTCGTCGGGACTCGTGTAAATTTAATCATACGATAATGTTTCGGAAGTAAGCGATCAAAACTGAGATTTAGGTCGCTCTCAAGCGCCTCAATCAATGAGTCAAAAAGTGTCTGGGAATAAATTTTACCTAGCGGAAAATATTTAATAATTACGATCAATATGTGTAAATTAATAAAGTTTATTACGTAATAAACATTTTTTACAAAAATTATTAAATAAGATGGGCACAACCAATCGCACTAGTTAATAGTCTAATTAGTAGACAGTCTAATGTATGCAAATCAGTTAATAGTATATTCAGAGAAATACGAGTAAAAAAGAGATTTTCTAATAAAGAACTAAAAATAATAAGGTTTGCTTTCGATAAAAACATTATTGAAATATAAACTAAGCATCATTGTCGAGTGCCTGAACAAAACTCCAGTTGAAAAGTCTAGCCAAGAAAATCAACAAAACCTGCATACTGTAAAACTCTTTGACACGAGGATCTGGGTAGACGAAGGTTCTACTTCTGAATTTCATTAATATTGGACTTGTGCTGCATTAAGAAAGTCCTAGTTTGAACTCAAGACGCCCGGTGGCAATTGTGTTTGATCAAGAATAATTTCAAGTGATAAGAAAAGAAGTGCATTATTAGCATAACAAGGAAATTAAACAAAGACATGAAAGGACAAAACATACCTGATTGATAAAACGAAGGTAATTATCTTAGATATCATTTGTTGTAGCCGTGATGAAAAATTTGAAGTTAGAACAAGTGAAACGACATTGTTATAAATCGGAAAAAATAAAATAAAATTTCTGATTTTAACTTTGAAACCCCTAGCTGGTCAGCTAAGTTGCTCTAGTCGACTATTTTCGGCTATGACTATTGCCGGTCAACTAGTCGAACCCATCCCTACTGTAAACTATTTACTCATTAACTAACTGTGCATCACATAACAACTTCATTAGTAATATTCTTTACCCTTGTTAAAATTATATAAAAATTAATAAACAAAATGATTCCTGAAATCTCTGATTTAAATATTTGAAAAAAATTTTTATCTAAGCTTTGTGTATGGAATTATTTCTTTATAAAAAATGATTTTACATAAAAAATAATGTATGTTGTGTATGAATCCACCAATTTGACCTGTACGGAAATACATCTGCCTATATACCACCATCTTTTACCTCTACTTTTTTTTTCTTTTTTGAGGTTCCAGCTTTCCAGTAGAACGTCCCTATTTACTTTTGTATTTTTTTTGGGGGAAGGATGGTCGAACACCATATTGAGCAGAAATTCAAGAACGAAGAAACTCGTAGAATTAAATAACCAGGTTATTCGAATGGCATGTTCTATGAGCAACAATACATTTATTTGTTGCCCTTTTTCTTTCAGAAGTCCCAGGCTTCTATCCCTACTTTACTTCGTATGTCTTTTTCTTTCAAACCATGTGCCTGGAAAGTTTCTTCTTACTGTGAATACGACTGACACCTTCTTTTCTCGTCCCGATTTAGGGTCGGCTTTTTAGAGTTTGGATTCGGCCAAACCTTAGCTTCGATTTTGCAAATCTACTCGAACCTAATTATAAGTTCAATTCAATCGATGTCAGACATTTCTTCGATGAGCACCAAGAAGCTCCAAAGAAGTCAGAATGCATGTTCTCACAAGTGTGCCTTTCTTCTTTTTGATCAAGGCTATCATCAGGAAGCTTAGAGAAGTCGTCTTTTGTTCTGAGGTGGGAAATTCAGGGAAGACAGTGTAGCACTGGTTAACGGCTTGTTTTTTTTCTAAGTTCATTATGCGTGATTTTCTTGCTTCTGAGCTTCTTTTTCCTGACCCAAAGCTATTTCTGGAAGCGGTGCTCTCTTTTTTCTTGTTCTTCTCATTTTTTTTTTCCTATTTTAATTTTTTCTATTTTTTTATTATTTCTTTTCTATTTTTTTTTTTTTTTTCTTTTTTTCTTTTTTTTTTCTTATTTTTTTTATTATTTCTTTTTTGTATCTTTTTTTTTTGTATCTTTTTTTTTTTGTATTTTTTTTTCGCATCTTTTCATAACTTTTTTTCATATCTTATTTTTTTTCGTATTTATTTTCTCCTTATTTTTCACGTATTTTTTTTTTCATATATATATTTTTTTTTTTCTCCTTATTTTTCATTTTTTTAAAGTGCCTCTGTTAATAAACATCCTCCTATTCAAATGTCATTCTCAGGAAGATTCAAAATGTAATTGTTTTTTTCTTGACAAGTGTATCCGCAAAATCTTTTTTTTTTGAGGCGGCTGTAGAACTTAAGTGAAGATTGAATAGTTTCTGTCTATAGCACGTAAGATCAAACCTCCAAATTTTCGAAGCTTGGAATAGTAATTGTAACTCACTTCCTTTAATGACAATATTTGGGAAATTAAATAAATATACTTCAAGAGGATCCAATATTCCTTTTCTAGTTACAACAATCTGTTTAGGTTGTTTTTCGATCAGTAATAAACGAATTAAGTCAGCCGCTTCTTCGGCAGTTTTCATTTCGCTAATTGACCCAACCATTTTCGTCCAGCCCAGGCTGATGTGTAAATGATTTTTTAAAAATAGCTGACCAGTTCTTTGGTTGAAAATGAGATAGGTTTGGTTGTCAAGTTTCCTTCTAATATGCGTTCGTATCATCCACAAGTTCTGAGATGATAAGTATGCTTCAGTAGGTTCTGATCTGTATAATTATAAACCTTTTCAGATGGGTTTTCACACAAAATGTATAATGCTGGATTGGCTTTCATAATTTTAGCCATCGTAGATTTAATCAACAGCTTCATTCCTGGCAGATTATAGACCAATCGGATATATGTTCATATTATCAGCAGAATAATCTAGGATGTTTGCTTTCATATATCTTTCAATATCGTGAGAATCAAAACATCTGATCTTAGTTGACAATCCACAAACCATCTTGATGTTGTTGTTCTATCCATAACATAATGTTTAGATAAATTCCATTTATATGAGGCAAATAGTAATATATCAGCACATGATGAGTTCATCTTGTATGATTTTCTAGGGTGAATAGACTCGTTTTGCATCGTTTCTATCTGCAAAGTTCATAATAACACTTTCGTGCACCTTTTGCCATAAATGGCTCTGAAAATTTAAATCAACGAAATCTTTAAAGTTGGAATTTTTCTGTGCATAAATATACCCGTAAGAATATACCCATAAGACTTGGAAACCAACGTATACGTTTAATCAATTAATTGTTGGCGACCACCGTAACGATTGGGAATTTGGTTTAGACCAGAACGCTGAGAATTTGTCAATTTCTTTTATCTCATATTCTCTTCAAAACCTGACGCCTTATTCAAAAATAATCCTTCCCATATAACAATGTATGTTTCTTTAAAGAGTGTATGCTCTAAGATACCTTCGACTCCACCTAAGGCTTGAATCATATCAGATCTACAATTATTATGTCCACCAGAATGGATAGTTCTTTAACAATTGATATTGCTTAAAGTTCGTTCTGACACGCCACCCTTTATCATAAGCTAAAGTATGTCAATCTTTAGAAAATAAAGTATTTATTCTTGGTAAACCATGATCCCAAGAATCTTCAAGATCTTTCTCTATTTTGGGCATTAGCTTCTTGACGTTTAAAATGTATATTCGGCCCACACATGTCGAGTCAATAAATTCCGATTCCCAAGGTTTAAGGTATCTGAGCAAATTCGGGATTAGCTGATCTTCTTCGTGATTCATTCCTGATCTAAAGTGGGTTATTCGTTAAGCTCCATCTTGAGAGTGAATTCCTCGTTGAGACTTCGAATTTTGGAAGAATTATAACCTCAAAACTGCATATAGAGAATAAAACATTTGGATTGTATTTTTGCAGGGAAGAAAGAAAAAAAAAAAGAGACGGAAAATAAAAAAGATAAAAAATTAGATAAAAAATAAAAAAAATAAAAGAAGCTTAAATCTCCTCAATAATCGACGTATATGGCGATGACTTCTGATGGATTATGCTGATAAAAAGGGCCAGCCCTCTTTTAAAATTCAAGTCTATCTGTTTATATAAATGATCCTTTCTATCATATGTCATTATATTGAAGTAAACCCCGTCTGTTAGGAAGGCCGCAAAGAACCGTCGAAGTGGTTGATGTTGGACCATGACCCGGATATAATCCAACAGCTGCCCTTTGTCTTCGTCAGCTAAGCCAGAGGCAATTTTATGCTTCTTTAACTCTAGCACGGTATAAACGCACTTCGAGAAAACAGCACCCCCATCTTCTACATTGAAGACACTAATATCAGGCTTCAAACCGTTGAGATATAGGACATTATGCGTATCTCTGGCAGCTACTGACTCCCATAACGAGCTCACTACTTCCATTAGCCCATTAAACCACTTCTGAACCCCCTCTTCGGCTAAAGCTTTATTTAATGGCGTTTCAATTAAATACTTCTTGACCGATTTGGAGATTCAAAATAGATTAACGGGATCCTGGAAGAGTTCGCTTGTTATGACTCCTTGGAAGCTTACACTTTTATAAGCCTCAGATCTAGTAATGGAGTCTATAAAATGCAGAGATTTTTAAAAATAAAATAGGATAAACAAGTACCATCATCATAATTTAGGCTTAGTGTTGTGAGAAGGAACGAAATTAACATAAAAAATTCTTCACAAAAAATTAATTTTTTGTGAAAAATTTTTTATGTCAATTTCGTCCCTTTTCCCAGCATCAAGCCTGTTTAAACTAAATTGATCTTACGTGGTAGCTCCTTCTCACGAAGTCCAGCTGACGAAGCCGAATTATCAACCCTGCGCTTTTTGGAGGTGACGACGACTTCTTGTTCGTTTGTAATATCCATAAGAGGAAATAGCTTTTCTACTTTCCTCTTATCCGCCTATGCAACAAACAAAAAAAAAATAATTAAAAAATTTTTTACACCAATACCACTATATGTTCTGTGTAAATATTTCAACTAACCTTTTTTACGTCAATCATTTTGCTGACCTTGGATTCGGTCTCTGAATCCAGCCCCTTATTTTCTTTCAGTCCTTCTAAAGAACGGTAGAAGGACTGAAAAACTTGGTTCCTGGAAAAACTAGTGTTGTTCATAACAACGCATGAAAAAATTTTTCCAGAGACCACAAATCGCTGGGAATTGTGTCAAAGTATCTTTGCGTCAACTCTACCAATTCTGTCGACATGGTGGAAAATTATCTGGAAAAAAAAAGGTTCGAGTTGAAAAAATTTAGAAAACGGAAAACTCATAAATAACTCAAGATTTTTACACGCAATCTAGTCATTATATAGTGGCGCAAAGACGCGACCACCATCTGACTGATTTTCGATCCTTGAATTTTTATTGGTCATACATGAAAAAATTGAGAAAACAGAAAACTCGTAAATAACTCAAGATTTTTACACGCGATCTAGTCAATTATATAGTGGCACAAAGACGCGACCACCATCTGACTGATTTTCGATCTTTGAATTTTTATTGGCTGATTAAACGTCATACATTAAAAAATTGAGAAAACAGAAACTCGATTTTTACACGCGATCTAGTCAATTATATAGTGACACTTTTCGATCCTTGAATTTTTATTGGCTGATTAAACGTCATACATGAAAAACGAAAAAAATATTGAGAAACAGAAAACTCGTAAATAACTCAAGATTTTACAATGATAAACCATAGTTTGACTTCTAAATAAAAGTTTTCAGCACGAAAATTTAGTTATATATGTATACCTAACTATCGAATATAAAGTAAATTAAAATCTGCGCTTAATTCTGATCATTATGCTCTTTCGATTTGGTGATTGACATAACCTGTCACAGATTTCAGACGTGCAAAATAAGAAAACACGAATTTGATTAAATTTACCAGAAAGAAGTAACTTCAAAGAATAAGATTTATTTAAGTTTTATTAACGTAAATTTGTTACTTTAAACAAATTTGTATAATAAACAATTTAATAAAGGCGAATATTCATAAGCTGGAATCTGTTATTGTGAATGATAAATATAATAAATTATTGAAAAACTAAAAAATTATATTTTATACATGACTAATAAGCTACTCTTTAGAGATAACTAAAAATTACTCAGATAAAACTGATACCATCAGACCATCATACTACACATCCCTAATGCAAATTTTTAGGTGCAAGCTATGACATTGTGTGGGTGTGCAACATCAAACATAATATGAGCCCCGACGTAACATGATTTTGAACCACAAGATAAGTTATGAATATTATGAAGGCACGAATATCCGACGAAAAAGCCAAGCCTCATGCCGCGCAATCTCGAATAACGTACACATTGACCTATATTAATTTTTCTGATAAATATAATCCTATCAATTACATGAGCATCAGAAACATTTTGGAAACTTGGCTCACATTATGATGAATTATGGTGACTTGCCGGCATTATAAGTATGTACGTACGTTCAGTCGTGTAACATCAACATTTCTACAGTACGTACGTACGCAAGATCAGCCCAAAATATACCGTCGTAACTTTTGAAGTACAAATTTCCGAAATTTCTGGAGTTTTTTGGTATTTCGGGTAATTCCAGGTATTCAAGAAATAGCGAGAATGAGAGGGACGTAAAGACAAATTAGAATAAAAATAGTTAGAATTTGTTATTCTTCTTTATGTAAAAATTGTTCACATATAGTGTTTTCTCCCGAAATAAAATAATTCAAAGTCATAAAAGCGCTTACTCTAATAATTCCCCAATTGGTATCCTAAATTCACATCACAGTGGTAACATTTCGCAAAATAGACGTTAATAAAAGTATAAAGTCTTGTAACTCGGATATAAAAAAAAAAAAAAGGATAAAAATGTATTTACATGTTAGGTCATAATTGCTTCACGGCATATATTATCGATGATGGACATCTCTCGAAAGCCTTCAAATTAATAACTTGCTTACAAACTGGATTAAAAATAAGTCCCTTTTTACCAAGATACACAATTTTCAGCAACTGCTGAAATGAAAGCCCCGCTCCGGTGATATCGGACAAACTTCTAACAAATGAAAATCTCTGGGCCAAATTGAGAGAAATTAATTGAATTGAACCTACATAAAATATGCTGATTGACAGTCCTGAAATCAGACTCAATGACTAGCCAGAAGAATGGAGATCCTACCTCACTGCCTGGAAGCAGATGCCAATAAACGTTGCACCTGTTCCTGATCAAAAAAACAAGCAGCCTTGAAAGCTAGAAGAGATGGAGATAATTAAGTTACCAGGGTAACAAATACCTAAAATCTTTCTCAATTTCTACCACAAATCCGTAAAATAATTTGTTCACAACCGGAGAGACGAAGGGCTACTGGGCTTTGAACCGGTAAATTGGGTATTAAATAAAAAAAAAGCTGCCTTCTGGAAGATTTTACAGGGACACTACCCTTAGAACCTAGATTGACGCACGTAACACCAAGGAATGCCCTTGGTGCTCAGAAAAATTTCAAAAATATCGAGCATTATCCAGAAAATAAGAAAATCAACCTACGATTATGTAAAGTCACGGGGGTGTAACACAATTGAAGAGGTGATTACGATACGTAATGTACAAAATTTCTTGAACGGGAATCTATGCTATGGTTACATGTTAATATAGTGTATGAAATCTGATTCTGGGGTTATTAAGTTCAGATTTTTTAAGGGGTTATTTTACATATAAATTTATATATGAATTTGTACTAATTTAGGTACATTTTTCTACACAATTAACAGACAAAATGTACCATATATTTTTTTTAAACTGTAGCTCTAGACTAGCTCTACACTGTAATAGAACCGGTTTT